TAGCTGTTAAATCTATCGGCGATTGACCATGACGATGAAACATGCTCTATGCACTAATCTGTGATGGAACAAATAAAAGTAAAAGGGATTAAAGTCAAAGTTTAAAGTTAAAGTATGAGTTGAGATCAAGGGGGAGAATGTTAGTTTGATCTCCCAACCACAGTGGCCCAATGACCACTTGGGCCTTGACCTCGCGCCCTGATCGGGGGCACCCAGTCCATCTATGGCTGGCGGCCCCCATCACACTACGCAATAAATAGAGGTGGGGGTCGGCGGCTCTCAGTACGAGGTTGACCTGAGACGTACGCCCCACCGGCAAACCCTACTCCAATCTAACAGAGGGGTGCAGCCAGTGACGGGAAGCACCACCGCCACCACGGCACTACGCCAACACCACTTCACTACACCACTCCTTCTTCATCGCCCGTCGCTGCCCTAGAGCAGATCTTCACCGACGAACCTATGATGGCCGAATCCGCCTCCGCAATGTCTACCGATGGTCTGTGCCTAACCCTAACTCTCCCTCTCCCTCTTTGTCCCTCTCGGTACACACCATTTCTATGAGAAACCCAATGAAACCCCACTGATCTACACCATGGATGGTCCTAAGATGTTAACAGCGAGGAGACCATACAAGCGAATAAGCGATCCAATGGTTGACCGCACGACTAACATATATATATACACACACACACATACGGTAAGGTTATTCTGCAGCTGGCCACAGAATAACTTATTCTATAGCCATCTTGATTTATGATAATGTTTGTACCAATTTACGATAATGACAATACACATTTACGATACATGAATTACTATAATTCAAGATGATACTTACCATAATGCTATAGTAAATCACTTATGAGGGAGTTACCATAATCTCGTAAATTAGTATAGTAATTATCGTAACTCAAAGTGGCCACAGAATAACTTATTCTGTGGCCAACTACAAAACAGTACGTCTATATATATATACTAGGTAGCATGTCCGTGCGTTGTTACGAGATAACTAACAATTTATACTAAAAACACACGGATCGCACGATAAGATAACAATACTATTAAATTAAATACCAATGCTAAAGTGACATTTAATCTAAAAACAAAGTTTATAAATTTAACACAGTCACGGAGTGCGCGGCGTCGTAGGCTCACAAACTTTAGAGTTTCCAGAGATTAGGTCGAATCCAACCTAGAGCCTCAGAACCCTGCATCTTTTCCTGGATGGGCTTCACTTCGGATGCGCTGGTAGTAATATCAACGATCTCCAGTCGATGGACTAAGTCGTATGGATCCCCATACAATGGCTCAGACATATAGATTTTGTTCTCCTTATACTTAGATACACTTGTTCCACTTAAGCTTCATTGAAATATTTAGACACGAACAGTGTCTGATCACCGATGCCCCTCACCCTGGACCACTCCGGCGTACGGTCATGGAGATTGCACTTATAGATCGCGCTACCGTAGGTGAAGCTCTATGTCTCGTGGAACGTGCTCACCATGGCACCAACAATGTGCAGCTCACCGTTTGATTCTAGGTAGCTGCGGTGGCAGAGCCCCGCAGGTGGCGACAACGATGGCAGCAGCGTCGCGGTTGGAGTAGCGCCGCCGACATTGCTGCTGCAGATGGAGATTTCTCCAGTGCAGTCGATCGCCAAGAACTTGTCTTGGTAGTGGATGATGGACCCCACGGAGAACTCCAGTTTGATGTCGAACAACGTCCATGCGTTGTCGACTCCAACCCGGCAGAACGTGACCTCCGTGGAGCACCCAAGCATGGCCATGGCCACGCACTCGTCGCCGCCGGCGTCAGGCGGCGCTGAGAGCACGATCTCACGGAAGAACACGTCCCTCATGTCTTCTAGCTTGATGGCTCTGCCTGCGGCATCCGTGTCCCCGTAGCCGTTGGTAGGATGGAGGATAGGAGGACCCACCGGTCGTGGACCCTAGACACGTGTTCCGATGAGGACGCCGTCTCGTCCATGAGCGCCAGCCACCCTCACGAGGAGCCACACGCCACCTTGCCGCGCACGTCGGGCAGCGTCTTGGACAAGACCTTCTTCTCCGGGATGCAGTAGAAGCTGACGCGGTCCGAGTCGGGGTCGAACGGGAGCAGCGGGAGTGGCTTGAAGGTCGCGAACAGGACGGCGGCGAGCCATGGGGAGCAAGCGGATCGGAAGGACGCCGCGTCGTGGTCTGACGCGAGACACTGCCCGATAAACTCGAGGAGATCCTCTGGCAGGCCGGATCTCCAGTGAGAGAGAGGTAGGGACCTTCTCTTAGGATTGAGAGGCTGAGCCATGAAAGACAGATGACATCAACTATGGTTCACGCAAGAAACAACAAGCGAGGACGATGGAACACGTGAGCGTGAAACCAAATGAAAGAAGGAAAAAGCTGTCCCTTTTGCAAATGCAAAGAGAGGAAGTAATTAAATATAGACAGATTTGGCAAGGTTCTCAAAAATGTAAAGATGTTTCTTTTATCTTAATTCCCTTTTCTTCTGTGTTAATTTTTTTTTCTTTTGCTCGTTGCCATGTATGCTGGTGCATGCAAACATGCAATGTGCATATGGATAGCACAATAATTTTTCACTTCCTATTTTACCGTGATTTCTCTATCACATGACAGACAATATTCAATCAAGGAGAATGACACGATCAATCAGTAATTAAGATATCGTGGGATCGCAGACGCGGGCAGACGGACGAACTAAAATAAATGTCGCACCAAAAAATGTTCATACTTTGTTCTTTTTAGTTGTAGGATATATATATAAATATATATAAAGAGAATAGAACCACTGCCCTGTAGCTGGCTACAAAATAATTTATTCTGTAGCCACTTTGAGTTACGATAATTACTATGTTAATTTACGAGATCATAGTAACTCATTACTAAGTGGTTTACTATAATGTTATGGTAAATATCCTCATATATATAGTAACCCAACTATCGTAAATATGTACTGACATTATCGTAAATTAGTATATAAAATTATCGTAAACGGAGGTGGCTATAGAATAACTTATTTTGTAAATATACTCTCCTAAAGAGAAAATAAATATAGTGATAGTTTGTCTGTTTCATCAGTCCCCATTAACAACTACTCCTGCAACTACCCCTGCTAGGTGACCTAGCTTGTATATCGACTTCAGCCTGTTTTTAATAATGCCAAATACACATCAATGACTTAGCTAATCCTGCAACTACGCTAGGTGACCTAGATTGCATGTCCTTTGTAGAATGTAAACATTTTTTTATGAAAAATATTCAAAATTTGTAAGAATAGGGAAATTTCTTCTTTGCATTTTTTCACAACCAAATTACATTCATATTAAGAACATCTTATAGAGTGGAGCACAAATAGAACTCCCCCAATAATTTATAGAATGAGTAGGGTAGAAAAAACATGCTAATGCACGTTCAAGAAAAAAAATAAAACCACACTTAAGAGTAGAGTGCAAGGGAAAAGTCCGGCATTTCGAGCGGAGAGGCTCCATAAATGTCACTTCCTCTGTTTGTCTTTATTTATACAAAGCATATTTCATTTCTAAAGATTTTCATGGACCATTACTCTCTATTAATCACGTTGGGATCCTAGATCACAAATCACATGCATGTTGGATATGATCACAAGATATTTTTCCTAAAATTTCCTATTTTCTAAGATAAAAAATATATAAATATATTTTTCTTCAATTACTTTCTGGTCTAGGAGGTAATTGGTCATCATGGCCATACACATTTACCTAAATGGATGGTCCACAGTTATTTTGGCAAACCTCTAATTAGTTATTATAACTCAAAGCTTTGTCTTAAGAAGCAAACTATGTAGGGAAAAAAACTGACGACTACCACGAATCCACGATAGTTGAGGCCTCACATAGTCACATGGACTTTTTTTTTCCCATTGAAACCTGAAACTAAACAGTGGCTTTAGTTTGGGCTTCCCGAACCGGCCCAGGCACCTACTTTGGTCTCCGATGGCCTGCTCGTTGATGATCCGGCAAGGTGGGGGGCGTGGCGCCGCCGATACCCAGCGGCCAGCGGCCAGTGGCCGCGCTTCCGGACCGCCGTGGGGGACGAGACCTAGCTAGGGCAAAGCTAGTCCTCGAACGGAGGTAGAACTGTAGAAGACGTCTGCGTTTCCTCCGCCATATGTAGTGGCGCAGCCTCGGTGGTAGGCGAATAGGGGTAGCGATGATGCCGTCCCCTCTGCGTTTCCTCCGCGGAAACCATGAGCGGCCGCGGATGGACGACCGCCGAGGTGGGACGCGGCAGTGGCCGGTGGGTGAAGAGGCAGAATGGTAAGAAACCAAGGTCACTTCTAGCCTTCACCGAGCTCCACAGGACAGATTAGAAAATGTCAGCTGAAATATCAAGTTTAGTGCTTGTGCTTTTGAGTCTCAGAGTCAATCAGAATGGGATCCAGCCATACTAGGACAATGCATCCACTGCACTGATGCATTCTGCATATTTCTGATGAGATGGCGATAGAGCTCCAATGATCATCCCTTTGTAGTTCGGCCTAAGAACAACAATACAGGTGCATTGTGTTCCTGGAAGAGCAGTTAATCGCGAGCTCAGGGTACTGATGCCGTTAGAACCTTCAAGTTTGGGAAGAGAATGGCTATTGATTCGAGGCAATGCAAGCGTGTTGCATCTCAATTGCAGTAGTCAGGAATGTCGCTTTCATGTTTTATGTGCCGTGTTGATATCAGACCTGGCTGTAGTCTGGATGGGTTTGCTAAGGGTAAGGGGTGCCAATGTGAGTTGAGTGTTTTTGTTTTGTTTCACTTGTTTGCTCTGCTACCCTCGTTAAAGGTTGTGCTGCTATTATCGGACCCTAGACACTGTTTTATATCGCTATCTCTGCTTCAGGCTTGTTCCAAGATAAACTTTAGAGCTGGGGCAACTTTGTGTGTAGTCCAATTGTTCTAAAATGCATTATACATAAAACATACCCATATTTTTCCTTGCTAACATAATCAGGCAGTTACCATCGATGCAAATGTGTGGAGTGATGCTGGACATGCTGTGAATCATATGTATGATCTGCTCTATATGATGGGTCGTGATGACATCCCAGTTGGTGTCGGTGGTGATGGTGGAATATCAGACTCAGGCACCATATATCCAAATGTCGGTGGTTATTTACCACTGATTGATCAGGTACCAACTTTTTACATTAATTTCCACTGTAACAATGCAGTGTAGAGAGGGCTAGTTAACTTTGATATCTAGAGAATTAATCAGTTCTCCTGTGGCTGTGATTCTCTAGTTTAATTACTAGGAGTAGATACTAGATACTAATATTTATGTTAATATTTAGGGCATGACAACGGTTGGAGGCTGCCGGTACAGGCAAGCTATTCCACTAGAAGGTGGTGGACGGTTGGATGTGGACACAAACTATGGAATCAGAAAGGGCTTCCTTCCACAGGTAGTGTATCACTTTTGTTATCTTCTTTGTTGATTCCTTGTATGTTGACCTTTCCATGATCCTTTAATATACTTAACTAAAAGCACATTGTAATAAAAACTAAAAAGATCGAAGGGTGTCCACTAGAACCTACCAATGCGTCTAAATGTCTCTCGAAATTAGTTATATTTCAGCTGGAGTCTGATTCGTTTTAAATTTGAAGATAAGCTGAGCAGTGGGAATTTATCTACAGTGCATCTAAATGTCAAGAGCAGCTGAACAATTATATTTGCAGTCTGCACTAACTAGGCATGAGGTGGAATGAAAACCATTTTTAGGCATATTACTTGCAATATTTAGTGATAACTTGCTTTGTGGAAGACATGCACTCTACTTAGATTAATAGTTTTTACTAACAGGGTCACAGAAGATATATGCCACTTCAGCAACCTACAGCACAACAAGTATTGATAGACACAATTTCTGCTGGCCCTACAACAGTCTTTCTCATAGGATCACACACAAACTTCGCCATTTTTCTCATGACATATCCACACCTGAAGAGAAATGTGGAGCACATATACATTATGGGTGGTGGAGTGAGATCAAAGAACCCTACAGGTTGCTGTCCAAAAAATTCTACAGGTTGTACGCCACAGCAGTGTGGTGACCATGGTAACATGTTTACTAGTTACTCTACCAACCCAAATGCAGAATTCAACATATTCGGAGATCCTTTCGCCGCATACCAGGTATAAACCTTAGATTTGCAAGATATGACCTGTTTTACCCTTTTTATTGATGCTTGAAAGTGGATTTTCTTTTTTCATTTGAATATATGCATTTCTTAGCTTTGCCCCCTTTTCTTTGAATCCACTATGGCATTTGTAGCACGTTCTCTTTGGAGCAAAGGCAAAATCATGCCTCGTTTATCTTTTTCTTTGTCTACTCTAATTCTCTTAATGTTTGTGTGGATTATTGTCACTTGTTAGTTTGTTACTTGTCTTATGCTTTAGTGCGCTGTAAACTCTCACATACCATGTATGCTTCAGCTTGCATGCTTAATTACAAACAATGCATGAATCTGTATTTTTTTTTTCGCGATCGGGCCATTCACCCGTTTTTGCATGAATCTGTATTTAGCTCATCGTTATTCCATATCAATTAACGGATCAGCTAATCAGCTAGTGAAAATTGCTTCTATGCCATTGGGATAACCACTTATTCTGCCACATGATAACTTGTTCTCCCCTCTATACCATCAGCCCATTACTTTGCAAAAATTGCATCCCTTCCATGTTATTGCCATCACTTCACTGTTAGTTTAGCTATTAAGTAATACATACAGGTCATTTTTACCTCCCTCATCATTTCCCAGAAATCAGAACAAAAAAATAAGATGGGCCTCACTATGATGCCACAATGTCATTCTTCTTGCTCTCACACCTACACTTGGACCTATTAGAGATATGTATCATTAGGACCCTATCAGTAATATAGCCTTCTTATATTTCCCCAGGAAGTATGATGAGTGGCAAAATGAATAAATGATCTTTGCTTGCTTTCATTGACCATTAAATTAACAAAATGATTGTATGGAGGATATGTATTTTGTGAAATGATGGCCAATAAGGGAGCATGACTTATTTGGTGGTAGATTGTGGACTGAGGAGTTTATCAGTGGCATGAAAGGATTTTTTTTTTCAAAGAAGCTAACATATGAACCTCATCAGGTGTTTCACTCTGGCATACCAATTACTCTTGTTCCTCTTGATGCGACAAATACAATTCCAATCAACAAAGAATTCTTCGATGAATTTGAGCGTCGTCAGAGTACTTATGAGGCGCAATACTGCTTCAAGTCTTTAAAGATGGCTCGTGACACATGGTTCAATGACGAATTCTATACAGTAAGTTCTTGTAATTTGTTCCATCTCATTTGGTACATATTTCTTTTTCACTGTTACTTGTTTTTCTTTATTCATGCTTCTTGTATTTCCTTGTTCAGAGCTATTTTATGTGGGATTCTTTTACCTCTGGTGTTGCCATTTCCAGCATGCGCAATGATAAGAATGGTAAATATGGAAACGATTTTGCTCAGCTTGAATATATGAACATTACAGTAGTAACTTCAAACAAACCATATGGTGTGCATGATGGCTCAAACCCATTATTCGACGGTCGTACTACTCCCAAGTTTGGTCTTCAAAAGGTTGGAGTTCATAGTGGTCATGTTCAAACTGGGATTACAGATAGCTTCTGTCGTGTCAAGGGCAGTAATAAAGGAAGATGCGAGGTACTATATGGCCACCAAATAGTTATTATGGACAGCTGCATAGTTCTTTTCCTGATGAAAAATTATTGCTGATATCCGTTAACTTCATAGAAATTCTGTCAACTTCCCTCAGTACATACATCTGTTATTTTGTTATGATGTCGCCAGACAGGCAGAGATAACATGTAAAAGTAAAACATAATTATATTATAATTCTTTGATTTGAATATACATAACTTTTATGAAGAATGCATTATGAGAATGGTACGAATGTTACTATTTTGTATTGGACAAGTTACTCTTCCATTTTGCAAGTAAATAAGATGTATGAATAAATCCTACTGTCTAAGGATACACTGATTAATTGTTTTTCTTAGGATGGATACACTAAGGAAGTTTCCAGCCCAGAAGCAGCCTGCATTCGTGTTGCTACAGAAGCTAAGCCAAACGTGGATAAGAATAGCCCTCTGGACAGGGAGTTTTTCGTGAGCTTCCTAGAGGTAAGCTATTCTGCCTGTTCGCTCATGTCACAAGATTCACAACTCATGTTTTTTGCATTATACCCGTTCTTTCTGATCAATTTCGTTTCTAGTATGTAAAGCTGAAATGATCTAATAAGCTCAATTGTTTATGTATCACAACATGCCACTTGCATCCCTTTATTATTTTTACATGTATATATCATTAGTTGTACTTTGTAAATCATTGACAGAGTTTTGATTTTTTTTTTTCACTTTTCAGTCCAAAGGTACCTAAATCAGCACTTAGCACTTTAAGATAATAATTACCACTTTGCCAACAGACCAGGAATTACTTCCCTAACTACTTAACATCATCTTACCATTAGCAGAATTTACACCATCAGCTTGTATTTTTGCAACACAGTGCTGAATGTTTATTTTCATTGATTCATTCAATAATAGATACTAAACTTAAGTCTCATGATCAGTAGTCTCCTAATAATGGAACATTATGTGAAACGTCAATTTGCGCTGCAATTCTGCATGCAAATTGGCCTTTGGTGATCAGCTGCTCTTTAGTAACTGATATTCTGTCACACAAAGTTTTATATGAAGGCCCTAATGCAAATGCAGTGTTATCTATGAAACCAAAAAAGTTGCTCCAAGCATTTGTCAGCAATCATTTTATGTGATGTCAGCCTACTCTTATAACTAGGCTATGACCTGCAGGCACTAAACCTTCAGGAAAACTCTGGCCGTTTCGACATTAAGGCACAATTTCCATTCTACAGAGAGGTTCTTAATAAGCCAGCATTGAAAAGCAAGAAAACGGGGAGACCTGTTATTATTGACATGGACATGAGTCCTGGCGATTTTGTCTCCCTTATATACCTCTTAAAGGCACCTACTGAAGTAATAGATTTGAAGGTACAATTATGGGGAATGGCACAATGTTATGCTTCAATGCAATTAAATATTTGGTTTTGTATTTATTTTGCAATTAAACTATAATGGTTACAGGGGATTTTGGTCAGTGGCAATGGGTGGGCCAATGTTGCAAGCATTGATATCATTTATGACATTTTACATATGATGGGCCATGATGACATTCCTGTTGGACGTGGTAATACCACTGCAATAGGAACTCCAAGTCTTGGTTGCGAATATGTCAGTATTATTCCCCAAGGCAGTGGAGGACTTATTGACTCAGACACTCTCTATGGACTAGCTCGATCATTGCCAAGAAGCCCTAGAAGGTTATCTTTTTGTAGGCACCATATTAACCAGCATATAAGTTAGCGCCCATGGCCTAGATACTTACGATTTTCTGCTTTCCATTCTTAGGTATACTGCTGAAAATTCAGTAAAATATGGTGCTCCTAGAAACACTGACCATCCAGAACTTCGGCAGCCATTGGCTTTTGAAGTTTGGCAGTCTATCAAAGAGCAGCTTGATCCAAGTGAGAAGATCACTATTCTTACCAATGGACCTCTTACAAATTTAGCCAATATCATGCTCTCTGACAGGAATTCAAGTTCTGTAATAGAGGTCAGCTGTTTGATACCTTTTGGTGCTAATTTTAAATTTTTTCACTCAAGTATTTAATGCAAATGTAAGATATGCACTATGCAGAAGGTCTACGCTGTTGGAGGCCATATCAGAGATGAAAATGATTCGAAGGGAAATTTGTTTACTGTTCCATCAAATAGATATTCAGAGTTTAATATGTTTCTTGATCCACTAGCTGCGAAAACAGTCCTGGAGTCATCTCTGGATATCACACTTATTCCTCTTAGCTCTCAAAGAAAAGCAGCCTCCTTTGAATGTATCCTTCAAGCTCTAAAGCATACTGATCATACTCCAGAATCAAGTTTTGTGCACCGATTGCTGCTCTCACTACATGATCTTCAGCAGAAGCATGGGCTTTACCACCATATGGTAAATGTCTTTAATTCCTTATATTCCTCTGCTACAACTAATCTTGCCAAACAAGCGAATGCTGAGCATTTTTTTCACATCATAGTATATATATAACTCCATAATGGTTCACAAATCCATGTTGCATCATGTTTCAAACTGAACTTGCCTACTGGGAGTCCTAGAGAATCTGGATGACTGCCAATTATTCAAATGAAAGAAGGGGATACTCAGTCTCTGTCAAAAGACAAACCAAGCTTCTTTCCTTTTTTGTCTAGATTCATCCGAATCAACCTATTTTTTTTTTTTTTCCTCAGATTTTTCTTTCAAACATTCAACAGCTATTGACTTTGAACAAGGTTTAATAGCATCTAGGTTACAGTGAACAAAAAGCAGGCTCGAAATAACATAGAGTGTTCTGGGTGTTAAAACCAAAACACAGGTTTGGGGCTGAATTTCAGATTTCATTAACCATGCCACAACTATGGCAGGTTGGGGATACATATAGGATAGCTTGCTTGAGCCTTAAGAAAACTACAACATATTCTAGAGACGCTAAAGTAGATGCTAGGGATAAAGATAAGGGCTGATATAGCCACCAACTGCTCTAGATAATTATCCTAAGTAGATAAGGACAAGACTTATAGCTGTTATTGTCCCCCTAAGTCTTGTGTGGCGCCTTCTGGGGAATTTGAACCATTCCAATCCTGGCGCGAAGCTCTTGGAACTTGACCCGCCCAAGGGACTTGGTGAGAAGGTCGGCGAGTTGATCCTGGGTGTTGATGTAGCCGGCCTTGATGCTCCCCTCATCCAAGCAGCTCCTAATGAAGTGGTACTTGATTCGGATATGCTTGCTGCGCTCATGGAAGACGGGGTTCTTCGCCAAGGCCAAGGTGGACTTGCTGTCCACCCTGAGCTCCACTGCTTCTGCGTCTCTGCCCAGGAGATCGCCTAGCAGCCGAGCCAACCAGAGAGCTTGAGTCGAAGCGGTTGTGGCAGCAATATACTCCGCCTCGCAACTGGACAGAGCCACAACTTGCTGCTTGACCGACTGCCAGCTGATTAGACACTTGCCGAGGAAGAATAGCGTCCCGCTAGTGCTCTTGCTTGTGTCGATGTCGCCGGCGAGGTCTCTGTCGCTGTACCCGATGAAGTGCCCCGCACCGGGACACCTCGGGTAGTGCAAGCCGTAGTCGGAAGTGCCCGCGACGTAGCGGAGGATCCTCTTGACGGCCTGCTCGTGCTCCGTCGTCGATCGCTGCATGAACCGACTGACGTAGCCAACGGCGAACGTCAGGTTCGGCCGTGTGTGGACGAGGTAGCGAAGGCTGCCCACAATGCGCCGGTACCGTGTGGCGTCGACCTCCTTCGCCGTGCTGTCGCGGCTCAGCTTCAGCCTTCCTCCATGGGAGTGTGTGCTGGGTTGCAGCCGGTGAGCCCGCCCAACTCGACGATGCGCTTGGCGTAGATGGTCTGGCGAAGGGAGATGCCGGAGCTGTCCTGGTGGACCTCGATCCCCAGGTAGAAGGAGAGAAGGCCCAAGTCGCTCATCTGGAAGGTCGCCTTCATCTCCTCCTTGAATGATTCCACCTCGGCCTCCTTGGTGCCGATGATCACCAAATCGTCGACGTAGACGTCTACCAACAGGGCATTGCCTCCCTTGCCCCGCCGGTAGACTGTAGCCTCGTGAGGACTTTGCTGGAACCCCATTTGCTTGAGAGTGGAGTCCAGCTTGGCGTTCCAAGCTCGGGGTACCTGTCGCAAGCCGTAGAGGGCCTTGCGTAGGCGAAGAACCTTGTCCTCCTTGCCGGGGATGACGAATCCCAACGGCTGGTGGACGTAGACCTCCTCCTTCAGGTCACCGTTTAGGAAGGCGGACTTGACGTCCATGTGGTGCACACGCCAACCCTCCTGGGCCGCTAGTGCGCGGAGGAGACGGACGGACTCCATCCGCGCAACGGGCGCGAAGGCATCGTCGAAGTCGACTCCCTCCTGCTGGACGAACCCGCGCGCCACCAGACGTGCCTTGTGCTTGATGACCGCCCCGGCCTCATCTTTCTTGAGCTTGTAGACCCACTTAAGGGTGATGGCGCGGTGGCCGGCAGGAAGATCTGCCAGCTCCCACGTCCGGTTCCGCTCGACCGCGTCCATCTCCTGCTGCATCGCGGCGCGCCATGCCGCGTCTCCCTCCGCCTCAGCGAAGGAGCGGGGCTCGCCGTCCTTGTGCGCCAGGTGCAGCTCCGCCTCGAAGTCGTACACCGCCAGTCCAGGAACGGGCTGATCACCGAAGATGTTGTCCAAGGTGCGGTAGCGTAGAGGCTCGTCGTGGTGGTAGGCATCGACGCGATCCTCGTCGTCGGACAGCGGAGTGGCGAACTCCACCGTGCGCTGCTCGTCACGGACCAAGGCTGCTGGTGCCGATCTCGGAGGTGTGGGCGCCGATGCAGGAGATTGGGGTGTAGGAGAGCGGGGCGTAGCCGGTGGTACAGGTGGTGGACTTGCTGGTGGTGTAGGTGGTGGAGTACTCGTCGGAGCTGATGGTGAGCCGGGTGCTGAGGTAGACGAGCTCGGTGAAGATGAGCTGCTAGCTCTCCCGGCTCCCTCGAAGTGGACGTAGTCGACGACGAAGTCTCTGAGAGTCGAAGTCGAGCCGTCGACCACCGCCTTGTCCCAGGCCCAGCCTCGCCCTTCGTTGAACATGACGTCCCGGGAGATGCAGACGCGCTATGTTGCAGGGTCGAGGATGCGGTAGGCCTTGACGCCCTCCGTGTAGCCGATGAAGACCCTTGGCGTGCTCCGGTCGTCGAGCTTGCCAACGTGGTTGAGCTCCTTGGCGAAGGCGAGACAGCCAAAGACGCGGAGGTGGCTCACCACCGGCTTACGCCCGTGCCAGGCCTCGTACGACGTTTTGCCGTCAAGGGCCTTGGTGGGCGAGCGGTTAAGGAGACAGACAGCAGTCATCACTGCCTCCCCCCAGTAGATGGCCGGCACCCCTCTCTGCTTGAGGAGGGCATGGGCGGTGGCCACCACCGTCTGGTTGCAGCGCTCAACGACGTCGTTCTGCTGCGGGGTGTACGGCGCGGAGAAGTGGCGCTGGATCCCCTCATCGGCGCAGTACGCTGTGAACTCAGCCGCCGTGAACTCGCCGCCGTTGTCGGTGCGTAGCACCCGAAGCTTGTGGCCGCACTCCTTCTCCGCAGCAGCTTGATGGCGTCCGCAGCCGCCGCCTTGGTGTCGAGCAGGACCGCCCACATGTAGCGGGACACGTCGTCAACGAGGAGCAGGAAGAAGCGCCGGCCTCCAGGTGTGGCCGGTGTCACGGGGCCGCAGAGGTCACCGTGCACGAGCTCCAGCTTCTCCTTGGCGTGGAAGCTCGCCTAGCGGGGGAAGGGGAGCCGCCGCTGCTTGGTGAGGACGCAGGTGTCGCAGAACTGCTCCACGTGCTCGACTCGCGACATGCCCTGCACCATCTCCTTGTTGCCGAGCTGCGTTAGGGCCTCGAAGTTGAGGTGCCCAAAGCGCTCGTGCCACCGCCAGGAGTCGTCGTCGCGGCGGGCTGCAAGACACACGGGCTGCGCCACCTGCACGTGGAGGACGTAAAGGCGGTTGGGGCCTCTGTTCACCTTGACGAGAAGGCGACGATGGCGATCCCAGATACGCAAGACCCCGTGCTCGATCTCCACGCGCGAGCCGTTCTCATCCAGCTGTCCCAGGCTGATGATGGAGTTCCTCAGCGCGGGGATGTAGTAGACACCGGTGAGCAGTCGGTGCTCGCTGGTCTTGGCGGTGAAGACGACGGAGCCGACGCCCTTGATCTCCACGGCGGAGGCGTCCCCGAACTTGACGGAGCCTCGAACGCCGGAGTCGAGCTCGGAGAAGAACTCCCGCCGCCCGGTCATGTGGTGGGTGGCGCCGGTGTCGAGGTACCACCCGTCGATCTGTCGACGCCGGACCTGTTGCCGAGGAAGACGTGAGCCCGCGGCTCGTCGAGGTGGAGGAGCGCAGCGGCGGCCGGCGGGAGAGAGTGCGGCTCGATGCTCCCGTGTACGAAGAACAGAGCCGGCTCGTCACCCTCCGCGCTTACGCGACGTGTGCTTGACCGCCGCGCTTCGCCTACCGGCAGTCCTTGACCCAGTGGCCGGACCTCCCGCAGTTGTTGCAGGTGTCGTTGCGGGTAGCCTTGCGCTCGCTGTCGGCACCGCCAGGAGCGCCACCACGCGCCTTATCCTGCTTGCGCGGCCGATGCTTGCGGCTGCTCAACGAACCCGAAGCTGAAGAACCCGAGGCCCCCCCTTCTTCCGCTCCCGCTGGCGGGTGAGCCACTGCTCCTCGGTGAAGAGAAGCTTGCCACCGATGGTGACCGGCTCTGAGGGAGATAGCTGCTCGCGGTTGTCGACGGCCTTGAGGCGACCCATCACCTCCTCGATCGACAGCTCAGAGAAGTCCAGCAACATCTCGATCGCGATGGCGACCTGCGAGTACTTCTTGGGGACGACGCGGAGGAACTTCTCGACAACTCTCTCCTCGTCGATGTCGTTGTCGCCGTACCGCGCCAACTGCTGCATCAGGGTGTTGAGGCGGAGAGCGAAGTCGTCGACGTCCTCACCCGGCTTGAAAGCCAGGTTCTCCCACTCCTGACGCAGCTTCTGAAGCGTGGACCTACGGGCGCGGTTGCTGCCGATGCGTGCCGCGGCGATGGCGTCCCAAGCGTCCTTGGCGGTCCGCTTGTTCGTGAGGGAGGAGTGCATCTCCGTTGGAACAGCAGCAAGAAGCGCCTCCAGTGCTCGCCGATCCTCGTCGAAGTCGGCGTCGCCGTACCGTACCGCATCCCACATGCGCCGCGCCTGCATCTTCACCTTCATCACCATGGACCACTCGGCGTAGTTGGTCTTGGTGAGCATGGGCCATCCGCCGCCGGCGTCCTTGACGACGATCTGCACGACGGGAGGGGCGCCGGGCCGGCCACGGCGACCACAGCGCCAATCCGGGGAAGGGGAGGCGCGCTGCCTGTGAGGGCTCCGCGTGCCAGCGTCCCGTCCGCCCAGGTCCTGCGCCTCGCGCCGCTCCTCCCGCTCCAGCCAGGCGTTGGCGTCGCGTGCCGCCCGCTCGTCCCGGTCGAAGTCGCGGCGTCGTCCGTCGAAACGGCCCGCGTCGGTTGTCGAAGCCGTCGCGGTCGCTAGCCTCACGTCCACCGCGTCCGCCCAGGCCACCCGCGTCGGGCCAGGCCCGCTCGGCGTCCGCTCCACGGCGCGGAGCCGCAGCAGCCGCCGCTCCTGCATCCGACGCGCCCACCCGGGCGCCGTAGTCCTCCCGCTCGCCCGCGTCCGCCTCCGCACGGAGCGCAGCCGCTGCTGTTGCAGCCTCCCGCGCCTCCACTACTGCCTGGTGGGCGGCTTCAGCCGCACGCGCGCCAAAGCAAGCTCCGCCTAGGCGATGTGAGCCGCCAGCTCTGGCTTTCTTTGCTGCCGCGCTCGCCGCCGCCTCCTCGCGCCTGGCTGCTGCAGCCGCTGCAGCACGGATGCTGGAGGTGGTGGAACAGTTGGAGGAAGAGGATGAGTAGTGGAGAGACATGGCGACCGATTGAGATGGGGTAAGGGTAGAACCCAGATGAACTTAGGCTCTAGATACCATTTGTTAGAACCAAAACACAGGTTTGGGGCTGAATTTCAGATTTCATTAGCCATGCCACAACTATAGCAGGTTGGGGATACATACAGGATAGCTTGCTTGAGCCTTAAGAAAGGTTGCTTGAGCCTTAAGAAAACTACAACATATTCTAGAGATGCTAGGGATAAAGATAAGGGCTGACACAACCACCAATTACTCTAGATAATTATCCTAAGTAGATAAGGGCAAGACTTCTGTCACCGGGTGCCCACAACGGTTTCCTACAGTAAAAAGTAGGCAATAATAAGCTCTGCTGGGATTTTGGTCCCTTGCCCCAATAGTTATGTTGTGCTTGTGCCTTTTGGAACAGAGCCTAAAAGTATACTTAAGAAAAAAATATGTTCATGTTCTTGGTCGAGCACAGCTCTTGTCCAATTTCTCTTTCCTTGATCGAGCACAGCTCTTGTTCGATTTCTCTTTCTTTGATCGAGCACTGAGAAGCAAGTCTGGCGAACATCATCCACCTTACTTTGAGATAGAAGAGAAATAAGTTCATTCAATACTGATTTTTTTGGGGATTTGTGTTATCATTATAACAGGATATATTTCTGGGAGAAATTCTTGGTGCTGTTTACCTGGTGGAAGGATTGAATATAAAACCATCTTTGCTGCTGAAGCCAATAAGTATTGTTGCCAACAACACAACAGACATGGACGGTCAGATTGTTATTGACATGCAGAGTGCAAGTTCAGTGGAAGTATTAAGTGATTTTAGTACTGAAGATTATTACAGTCGAATTGTCAATTCTTTAGGCAACAAAGAGCAATCTGCAGTTATTGGTAGCTTTGAAGAACAGACCGCAGTCTGGAGCAGACCCCTTTGAAATTGGAGACATGAACATAAATGAACCAATTTTTTATGTAGTATCTAGTTTTTTTTTTTTGATTTTTGAGAAAAGTATCTAGTAATGTTGGTGAAGCACAACCATAATTGAGCTCCGTTACGGAGTTATGCCTCTAGCTTATAACAGTAGTTGCATACATCTTTTCAAGATTCATCCCATTTATTTTGGCATCTGGAAGCATAATGTTTTTTTTCCTAAATGTAACCACCACCACTTGTTCAACAGTGCACGTTAAGGTTGCATCCCTTGAAATTGATGCAAATAGCAAAGGGAATTACAATAATGATAACTTTGATGTACCATTTGCATTGTTTTTTTAAGGATGGTGGCCGCATCCTAAAGAAAGTAGCTATGAATATGCCTATGTGTATATTCAGAAAAAAAGGAATTGTTGTTGTATAGTTCCGTACTCCCTCCGTCATAACTATCTTTTTTTTTTTTTCTGCTGTGAGTTTGATTAGATATATATAAAATGCATGTAATATTTATATCTTTAAATAAATTTATTATGCAAATAGATTCAACGATCTATCTAATGATATTAATTGTGTATCATAAATATTAATATTTTTTATATAAAATTAGTCAGTTTTTTCTCGGGAAGCGAGAACGTAAGTTACTTAGGTATGGAGGAAGTACGTGACAAGCTGTTTGTACAACTTATTTACAGTGAGAGATCAAAAGTTTGAAATTACGTTCACCAAAACATACTGTAGAACACAACGGACGTGCAGCCCAGCAGCGACAACTGCTAGCAAGCCAATGGGCGTGCTCGTCCTGACCCCACAACGGAAAATCATTTTTACCTCCTAAACTATAGTTGTGGTCTTATTTTTCTTTTTAACCTCAAAACCAGATATCTTACCTTCTCGACTTTCAAAACTGTTTAAATTACCACCTTGTCGAGGTAGAAGTAATTTTTGAGGTAGTTTCATCACTTTTTTATAGTTAAACATCAAGTAAATTATTGATAAGGTTTTTAAACCACAAAAAAAATGTTTTTAAGGTTTTCAAAGTTTCGAGAAAAATCTGAGATATATTGAGACATGAAAAACATAAAAAAATATTTAGAGCTCATGAAAATATCTCTAAAAGCTTTTCAAATTAGGTTTCGCTCTAGGAAAATAAAAAATATCTAGAAAAATGAAAAACAAAATCCCAAAACATTACAATCAACGTCTAAACATTGTTTCGAGAACTTTCCACAACAAAACAAGATGCAGGGCAGCAAGAGCCTAGGAGAATGCCCATGCATGCCGCAGGCTGGCTGATCGCGAGCTGCCACTGCACCAGCAACCCAGCATCAACACGAGCACCACCTTGCTCGAGTCGTGAGACACAGCCGGGATGAACTTGCTCAGCAAACACACCAGTCAAATCAAGTATGAAAAATCAATCATGGCGTGGCAGGGGACGGTTGAACTGGGCCTCACGAGTTCTGAGTGAGTTTTCAGTTGACCCGAGGCGGCGTTTGAGCCCGGCGGCGGCGTATCCGCCGAGCCACTGCTCATCCCCCGAGACGCGCCACTCCTATGGTGTTTCTGATCAAATGGAGCAAGCCTCCAATGGCGCACTGCCGGCGCCTCCACCGCTTCCTCTCGTCTGCCGCCGCCAGAGCCACAGCGCCGATCCCTGCCCGGCACGTGCCCCGGTCGCCCGGCACGTCCGCGCAAAGCGCCCGCATTCTGGAGCTCGGCCGCCTCGGCCGCTTGCGCGAGGCCAGGGAGGTGTTCGACGCGATGCCCTTCCGCGACATCATCGCCTGGAACTCCATGATCTTCGCTTACTGCAACAACCGGATGCCCGACGCCGCGAGGTCGCTCGCTGACGCGATCTCCGGCGGGAACCTGCGCACGGGCACCATCCTGCTGTCGGGCTACGCGCGCGCCGGGCGCGTGCGTGACGCTCGGAGGGTGTTCGATGAAATGGGCGTGCGGAACACCGTGGCGTGGAATGCCATGGTTACCTGCTATGTCCAGAACGGGGACATCGCCCTGGCGCGCAAGATGTTCGATGCAATGCCGAGCAGGAATGTCTCGTCATGGAACACAATGCTTACTGGGTACTGCCATAGCCAACTCATGGTGGATGCAAGGAATCTGTTTGAACGAATGCCAGAACGAAACTTAGTTTCTTGGACAGTGATGATTTCTGGGTATGTTCTGATTGAGCAGCATGGCAAGGCTTGGGACATGTTCCGCACAATGTTATGTGAAGGAATGCCACCAGAGCAACCAAACCTCGTTTCTGTGCTTTCAGCTGTACGTCATCTTGGTAAACCTGGCATTCTAGAGAGTATCCACGTTCTTGTGCATAAGACTGGTTTTGAGAGGGATGTTATCGTCAGCACTGCCTTACTTAATGTTTACACTAAGGATGTGAATATGCTTGACACTGCAGTAAAATTCTTTGAAGGTATGGCAGTTAGGAATGAGTACACATGGTCAACCATGATCGCTGCACTATCTCAGGCTGGACGAATAGATGATGCTTTTGCTGTTTACCAAAGAGATCCTCTACAGTCTGTTCCTAGTCGGACTGCAATGCTCACAGGCCTTGCTCGATATGGAAGGATTAATGATGCAAAGATTTTATTTGACCAGATTCCTGAGCCTAATGTTGTATCCTGGAATGCCATGATTACTGGGTACATGCAGAATGAAATGGTTGATGAAGCAGAAGAGCTTTTTAACCGGATGCCTTTTAGAAACACAATATCTTGGGCTGGGATGATTGCAGGGTATGCACATAATGGGAGGAGTGAACAAGCTTTGGTTTTGCTCCAAGCTCTCCATAGGAAGGGAATGTTACCTAGCCTGTCTAGCTTGACTAGTAGTTTCTTTGCTTGTTCAAACATCGAAGCTCTTGAGACAGGAAAACAAGTTCATTCACTTGCAGTAAAGGCCGGCTGTCAGTTTAATAGCTATGTATGTAATGCACTGATTACTCTGTACGCTAAGTGCAGAAACATAGGTTTTGTGAGACAAATCTTTGATCGGATGACAGTTAAAGATACAGTGTCTTATAACTCTTTTATGACTGCACTTGTACAAAATAATCTGCTTGATGAAGCAAGAGATATATTTGACAATATGCCGAGTCGAGATGTTGTCTCTTGGACTACGATAATATCTGCATATGCACAAGCTGATCAGGGGAATGAGGCTGTAGAGATTTTCAGAAGTATGCTGCATGAGCGTGAGTTACCCAATCCACCTATATTAACTATAGTTCTTGGCCTCGGTGGAAGTCTTGGTGCTCCCAAACTTGGACAGCAAATTCACACAGTCGCTATTAAACTTGGAATGGATTCAGGACTTGTAGTGGCTAATGCTCTTGTCTCGATGTATTTCAAGTGCGGTTCTGCAGATTCCCGTAAGGTTTTTGATTCAATGGAGGAGCGGGACATTTTTACATGGAATACCGTCATTACAGGCTATGCTCAACATGGTCTTGGAAGAGAAGCCATCAGGATGTATCAACTAATGGTATCTGCTGGAGTGTTGCCTAACGAGGTCACTTTTGTGGGGCTTTTACATGCATGTAGTCATTCTGGTTTGGTTAATGAAGGGCGCCAGTTTTTCAAGTCTATGAGCATTGATTATGGACTAACTCCTCTGCTGGAGCACTATGCTTGCATGGTCGACCTACTTGGGCGAGCTGGTGATGTGCAAGGAGCTGAACAGTTTATTTATGATATGCCTATTGAGCCAGATTCAGTGATCTGGAGTGCGCTTCTTGGGGCATGCAAGATTCACAAGAATGTAGAAATTGGTACCAGAGCAGCTGAGAAACTTTTCTCAATCGATCCATCAAATGCTGGGAATTATGTCATGTTGTCAAATATATACTCCTCTCAAGGGATGTGGGATGAAGTTGCGAAGGTACGAAAACTTATGAAAGAACAAGGTGTGAACAAGGATCCTGGTTGTAGCTGGATGCAGATAAAGAACAAAATGCACTCATTTGTCACTGGAGATGAGGAACATGAGCAAATTCAAGATATATATGCTACCCTTCGGGAGTTATACACTTTTCTAAAGGCCACAGGTTATGTACCTGACACGGACTTTGTTCTCCATGACATAGATGAAGAGCAGAAGGAAAGCTCGCTTCTGTCCCACAGTGAGAAGCTTGCTGTTGCTTATGGGCTTCTTGCTACACCCAAGGGCATGCCCATACAGATAATGAAGAACCTTAGAATATGTGGTGACTGTCACACTTTCATCAAATTTGTATCCTATGTCACCAAGAGAGAAATTGACGTTAGGGATGGGAATCGATTCCATCATTTCAGGAATGGAAGCTGTGCATGTGGTGATTTTTGGTGATAAATTATCCGAGCACCAGCAGGTCTTCTTCACACTATCCCCTCAAACACAGGTTGCTTAATTTCTTCACCCATGTTTTAGTTTCCCTTTAGTTTCTATGTGTATCTAAATCCTTTTTCATGTTATCCCAATTGATCAAAGAGGATTTTACTACGTGGTATTCTCGATGGGTATACACAAAATTAGGCATAAAGATGGGTTTGTACACTAGAAAATTAACGCCTGTCCACATAAAGTTTGAATTGAATGCAGAGCAAAGCAAGATTCCTTATATGATGTGTTTCTTATCATTGTTGATGTTTTTGCCTGGATTGCATTTTGATAGTCTGATAGTGTAGTTAATCCTGTAATTCCTGTTATCATATGACTGACTGGTGTTTTGTACATTTCATATCAAGGCTGAGTGCAGGAAGAGGCAATACCTTACCTCTTGAATGTTCATCTCTATATTAAGGAGGTCATCCTTAGGTTAGTCATTTCGTCATCACCAAACCATTATAAAAAAATAATTGATTGATTATGATATCGTTGTGTTCTCTCTACTGAATGTTTATGCTTTGGTGTTCAGTTCTGCTGTAATATGCACAGATACGCAGGTCTAGACCATTGATGTTAAGTCTTGCCTCACCAGTCACCAGTGTCTGCTTCTGATGGTGTGGCTACCTGAGCAGCTTCTACCGATTCTGCCTTAGCTTGCCAATTAACGCGTTCACCAGGACAGAGCTGAAAATTTGAAATGGCAAGACCACAACCCTGAAGTTGAAGTGTTGGTAAGAAACTCAGATAGGTGGATAAATGTTGAGCCACATAGCTAAGAGTTTAAAGACAGATGGTAGGTGTTGGAACTTGGAAGGCCATGCGACTCCCTTGAACCACATCAGGAATTGTGGAAAGCTCAAGAACCACACTTTCCTAAATGGAAGAAAGACAACAAAATCTCAGTTGAAGGAGATAAGGTAAACCCTTACAAGGTTAGCAATCGTGATGAGAAATTCCAGAAAAGAGGAAGAAGATTGTGGAGGAAAAAGTGCTCAAAGTAGATGTGCAAGATGAGCTGTGAGCTTTCCCCTACATTCTTCCGATGTCGCATCAAGGATAAAGACCAAGAATGACCAGGCAGGTAAGGAGAAATCCTCCTGGTAGGTCTCTCTACCATAAAACTTGATCGTCAATGACAGCGCTGTTATTCTTCAGCTTATAACCTATTATATCTCTCGTTTTTTTAAAAAAAAAAGTGCTTCCGAAGCCTTGTAGGGTACATCTGTCCTACTCATCTTTGTCAGGTTGCAGTACAGGATTAATTCTGATTGCAACTTTGTTTTCTTCTCGATTCTGTCTGGCCTGCAGTTGGAATGGTAGTAGATGTAGTGTAGTCACTGCAATGAATTGATAGCGTTGGACAGTATGAGAACCCAAGATTTATAAAAAGCTTAATCCAGCTGGCCTCATATTTTCTAGCTGAGCCATATTGAATTCTTTTAAAGGTTTATTATTTATAAAAATGGTGAATGCAGGAATAGAACAGTTAGTGATGTGGTCTGTAAATGGCAAATTTGATCTGCACAATCAATATACCAAGTTGGGAATATTAATTTTTGGCCATGCACAAATCTTAGAATAGAATTATGTTTTTTTTTGAAACAAAGGCAGGAGCTCTGCCGCTCAATTAAGACGAATGAATTTATGTACAAGAATGTTAGTCAAACGAGATGCCCACAGAGCACCTGATTGGCTAACCAACCCACACGACGCGGTTGAGCAGTAACACGACACACTGCCATAGGTCATCGTTGCCGAGCATGGAAGCGAAGCTACCAACAGCTCCAACTTCCGATGGCAGGCCACCCACAAGCCACCTACCGACGGGTCCAAAGCATGAGACCGCAACCGGTCATCGTTGCCAAGCTCAAACAAGAGCAGCTCCGACTTTCGGTCACGAACCCACACCTCGCCCCCAGCGGATGCAAACCCTCCGCAGAGCCCCAGATCCACCAGGCACCAAGAAGCGCAAACGCCGAAGGAGACATCAAAGCAACATCGACGATCCAAATGCAACACCTTCAAGAAGGGAGCGACGTCAATGGCGCCACCATCGCACGTCCACAGCGGACCGGGTTTTCACCCTTGGATGACAATGCTAGATGGGAAGACACGACACCCCCAACAGGGAAAGCAGCGCCCACCGGCATCGCCGTCGTCAAGGCTTTCGCCTGATGAACGCTCTAGCATGAACGTCGGGCCAAGAAGCCGGACCCCATACCCGCCAGCACCTCCCTCGCCGTTGTCCCGCCGCCCCACAGAAGCCCCTACAGAGGGGTATCGACGCGTCGGCTGCTCGCAGCAGCCGCACAGCTGCGTCAACCGCCGCCTCCTCTGTCCGGGCAACCCGTAGAGCCGGACCTGACTCCACCGCCCGCGAACACCGCTGCACGTCGAGGCCGTCCCCGGCACCGGCACCCGCCGCCGTCGCTGCCGACCTTCGCCGCCAGCAGCCACGAGGTGCATGCCCCGCCATTTCGGGCGCCGCCCCTAGCCCTAGGGCGCCAGATCCAGCCACGAACCCGACGCCCCATGCTGACGCACCGCCTCCGTCCTCAGCTGCCCGGGCCGTCAGGCCGGCCGCAGCAGCCCCGACCAGCCGTGCGCAGCAGTCTTTGTCGTGAGGGAGGAGGGCATGCGGAGGAGGAGAAGGAGAGAGCCCTTCCGCCACCCTCCGCGCTTGCACAAGCTCCAGCCGCCACGCCTCCCGGCCAGGGCGAGTTGGATCCAGCCACCGGGGCTTTGGATCCAGCCACCCGGGCCACGGATCCGACCGATCGGGCAGCCTAGGCCGGCACAACGCCGCCGGTGAGGAAGGAGGTGAGGGAGAAGAGCTCCGCCACCTCAAACGCCCGCTCGGGCCCTGGCTGGCGCCACCGCAGCCGCAGGGGGCAGCCCAGCCGAGCCCCACGCTGCCCTAGCTCGGCCGCACCTTGCCGAACCGCGGCCACCTGCGCCACTACGCCGCCGTCACGCGAGAAGATGGCCCCACCGCCGCCATCCCGGCGAGCCGCGTTGGCCTTGCCGGCAACCTGCTCCAATGGCGGCATGGCGGGAGAAGGGAAGGAGCGTGGGGGGCGACGCGGGGGCAGAGGCCGGAGGGGTAAGCTGAGAGTTGAACTTGTTACATAGTGAATTATGTTTTTTTCAAAGCAAAGAATAGAGTTATGTTCATTGTGGTTCATATCCTATTCTTCTATGTTCATCCTTTTATATCCTACTCTTCTCTATTTTCTTTGTTATAGCCTTCTAAGTTCAGATTGATTTTCCTCGAACTATGTATGAGAACTGCGTGTCATTTCATCATTAAGAAGAAGAGAGAAATCCTCTCTCTCAAAAAAAAAAAAAGGGAGAAGTGCAAAGGAAAGAGGGGAATTGCCTTTTCCAGATCTTGATTCTGGACAAGGTTAGTACAATGTGTCCTACATATGCATCTAGGATGTTACTTTGATAATGACAAGCACCTTAATTGTGGCTTTCAAACTGCATTGCTTTTTGACACTACTTGTGAATAAAGTTATATAGAGAAAAATCAAGAATTGATGTTACTTTGAGAAATTAAATAAAACAAACAAGACAGAGAAAAACTATAATAATAAGCAAATCTAACAAACGCATTAAAAATCATAACTAATGTCACATGGTATGTTTTATGTTTGGTTAATGTGTCATCCAGGGCTATACCTTGTATTCTTGTCATGATTCAATATCGTATTAGATGAACCGGAAGTTGAAAGAATTAAAAAATTCTTGTGACATGGTAGATTTGATAAACTTAGTTATTATTCAAGTATATTTGATGCAGTTTCACTTGTATGTTGCAGGCACTCTTTGCATCTTTATTGGTGAATCTGTGGGTTATTTCCCTTATAACTGCATTTTAAAACATTTATGTTCAAACTGAAAGGGAAGGAAACTTTTAGCCTTGGTAGGAGGTGAAGGACATAGCTAAACCTCAGAAAATGCGACTTTCACGTCCTACCTGATTGTGTTGACTGCTGAATTGTCAATGCAAACGTTTTTAGAAAATTATACATTCCCTTGGATTTTTTTCTAACATGCTAGTTGTAACGACAGGCTATGGGTCCATTGCATTGTACTGTACGTCATCTCTGCTGTGGCTCGCATTCCTCTATAGTACTTGGTAAGATCGAGTAGTATAGCCATTAAAATTTATTAAGTAGTGTTATGTTACCTTATGATAAGGAACTTATATTATTAGATGACGTTTCTTTAGGAGTACAAGCACATTGCCAGGCTGAGGTTTTATATCACATTTCTCGAGTAACAAGCAATCCTAGCCTTTACTGTGCTTGTCCGAGGAATACCAAAAGCAAGCACTGAATCATTCAGTTTTTTTTTTGGTAACTGGAAAACTTTATTAACAGCAAGAAGAGAAAAATGTTTATGTTGACCAAGTGATCTCTGATGAAATCCAAATCACCTTTGCTTGATGGTTAGTTGATGACCTGAAATCAGATTGGGAAAAAATTGTTCATGATTCCCTTTCTTTCCCTCTGAGTCATGGTCAAGATAAAGTGGGTTGGAGATTGGGTAACAACGGCAAATTCTTGGTTAAATCTACTTATAATGCTCTTACCAGTAATGAGCGTGGGGCTGCCTTTAAATACATTTGGAAAAGTAAAGTTCCAGCCAAGCTTAAATTCTTTCCGTGGTTAGTGGAAAACAATGCTATCCTTACAAAAGACAATATGATTAGTAGAAAGTGGGTGGGCAGCCCCACATGCTATTTTTGTGATCAAGATGAAAATGTTAATCATTTACTGTTTTCCTGCTGCATTGCCAAGATTGTTTGGGCAACTATTGCATCTTGCTTGGGTGCCAATGATATACCTTCTAATACCCAGCTAAGTTGGAAATGGTGTGAAAAATGGATTCCTCATGGTAGAAACTTTTATGCCGTGGGCATTGCTGCCATTTACTGGTTTATTTGGAAAACT